AAGGCATGCTCCTTGCTCAGTGCTCAGATCTGAGTCAATTTCCAGACCCAGACCACAGAGAGCCCATTGACTTAAAAGGTGGGTCCCTAGGAAGAAGGACCCAGTAACACTGAAACAAGTACTCACTGTAATGATCATAGGTCTATGACCTATGATCATTTTATCAGCTAACTATATGTTGGGGAAAGAGAAATACCCAGACATTGCACAGGATCTGCAAGGATCTTGTTACCCAGAAACCCAAAGTATTATCATAGGCTCTCTGTGAGAGCGGGGGCTTGTGGCGATCAGGTAGTAGGCAGAGTGCTGGACAATTGCCAGCTTACAATGGGTGCATGGGTCTATAGACCCATCCAATGGTCATTTCCCCGGTCCCTGAGAATGTATATTGGGGATATATATACATATATATATATACATATACATATATATATATATGGTATCTGGAGCAAGCTCCATATTAGGTCCTTGGCCTTCAGTTCTCATGGTGGAGGAGACCGAGTGAAAGCCTCTGAAACTTTCTCTTCCCTACCAACTCGAGATAAGAAATCAAAGCCAATATTTCATCCAAGGGAATGAGGGAGGTGATGGTGAAGATCAACGTCACTGCAAGAGACCTAATGGATGGAGGAGTGGTCATCCTGTTCTATCTCCATTTAATTTGCAAGTCTGGGCCCTTCAGAAATCAGGAGAATATCTGATAGAGTACTGCAGACCAGACCAGACCTAACCATGTAGCTTTGATCACAGCCATTTTGCCAGCTCTGTGATCCATCGGAATACAGTCCGCAAGGACCTAGACCACCTGGGCACCCTATAGAACATCACAACCATCTGCTACATTGATGCCACCATGCTCATCAGGTAGGATTAGCTAGAGGCGTCTAGTACCCAGGAAACCTTGGTAAGACCCATGTACTTCAGAGGGTGGGAGGTAAAAATCAAACCTGAAGCTTTTGGGACCTGCCAGTTCAGTTTTCAGGGAACTAGTCGTCAGGGATCTGTCAGGATAGTTCCTTCAAAGTAAAAGGCAAATTATAAAACACAGATAAGCAAGATAAAAAATTATTTATAAACCTTAGAAAAGTGATACCTAAAATTGTTATAGTGTTTATATCCGTTAAGACTTTTCTCATTATGCATAGAATATAAGTACAACTAATATGGAATCACATCACTATCTTATATCCTCTTTATTTACTTGTTTAGTTGCCTGTTATCTATCTGTCCTTACTGCGATATAAGCATGCTGTGGGAAAGTCTGTTCTTTGACTTGTTCACTTCTGTATCCCCGGCACCTCCAAATACACTTGGCTCTCCATAAATATTTTTTTGGTGGAATGATTGAAGCGTATTATACACATTGCTTTTTAGCCCGTTATTTTCAGCTAACTTCCAGATGCTTCAGGTTCTTCAAAATGTGCCTCTCCAGAAGTCACGTGAAAGCAGAGTCCTCACACTCCAGAGACTACTATCAGTGCAACTTCAGAACCAAGAAACCTTAGTCTTTTGGAAGCCGAGTCTTTTTCCGTTTGGCTAGCCCTGACTTAGAGTCTACAGCGGGCACAGCTTTGGAGAGGCACCTTCTTTACACCACCAGGTTCCCAGGACAGCCTACCTGGAGCTGTTCCCAGGCAAGCAGCCCGGCCCACCGCGCGTTCCCCTCCCGGCCACGCGGGGGCGGTAGAGCGCCGCAGTCCGCG